AGTCTGGAGACGTTCATGCTGCAGGTCCATCATGTCCTGTTGTCCCTCTGCTCTCTCTTATGGCCCCAGCCTGCATTCTGGGGGCCCTTCATATTCAATCAATAAAGCCTGTAGTAGAAGGACCAGTCCATCTGAAGTCCTCAAACTTTCACCTCCTTCACACACCTGTAGATCTGTCCCAGGAGGTGAAGGACCTGCTCCTATGACTCGGACTGGATCTGAGGTCTGAGTCAGCTGGGAGCAGGAGACTGAGAGGAGCTTCCTGGTTCCAGAACCGCATCAAAGCTGGTTTAGAGGAGCATCAGCAAAGAGCTGAGTGGGAGGAGCCAGAGAGCAGGTAGCAAGGTGACATCATCATTATACTACCTGATAGATGATGTCATCACCTGCATAGGGCCTTGAGGTGACACGTGTTGTGAATTGGTGCTCTATGAATGAACTAGTGAATCTCAGAGAACTGAGGAATTCTTTATTCATTAATGTGGCAGTAACTCATTTTTAAGCAGGTGATGATGCTACAGGCAGGAAGGGTCTCCTGTAGAGGTCTGTCTGCAGCAGATCTATAGAACTATCTGACTGAAGACCCTCTGTTGGTGTCTAACAGTCTGATGAAGAGGATGCTCACTGCTGTCCATCATCTTCTTCATCTCCAGAGGTTCTAAAGGAGTTCCTAGAACAGAGCGGCCTTCTTTATCGGCTGGTTGAGCTTCTTTCAGTCATCTGATGATGATGATGATGATGATGATGATGATAGAAGATCTGCAGCCTCTGAAGGACCTCAGTTTCCTCTGGAAGTCCAGTCTGCTGCGTCCTTCTTGCAGACGGCTTCATGGCTGTGTCCCCAGGTGTTGTCCAGGTGATTTCTACTCCTCCTCCTCTTCTTCTCCCAGGATGTTAACAGGATTCATCTTGTTCCTGTTTCTTCTGAAATCTCCAATCATCTCCTTGTTTTGTTGACCTTCAGGTCACACCATGCCACAAAGCGCTTCACCAGCTCAGGTGTGCTCCATCTTTGATGTTCCCACTGACCTGTGTGATGTGGACAGGTCTCTAGTGCCTGCTGTCCTGCCGAGTCAGAGTGATGTTCTCAGGAGGAGAGCTATGGAGCTCAGCTAGCTTGGCTGTTCAGCGTGGAGCTGAACCAGAAGCAGGGTGTGAGAACCTGTGTTGATCAGGAAGTGAAGGTGAAGGAGAGAACAACATGTGCAGACCGCAGACACCTCACTACTACAGAGGAAGCGGTTTGATACTACAGCCGGAACAAACACAAGGCCCAGGTGGAGGGGAAAGCTCTGTTGCCTGGGCAACCATTCAAAACAGCAGCTGATTGGTTGGTTCAAAAGACAAGCCAGTTTGGCTCCTTTCAGAGGGTGTGGACCAAAGCAGGAAGAGTTCAAAGCCCTGACCTGCCACCATTTTCCTCCTAACCTCAGCATCACCAGCTCATAGCGTCCCCTCACTATGACATCACCAACATGGTCATCAGCACACGATTAATCTGAGTCGCTAATCCAGTCCGATTCACTTTACTACTGAGGTCGGTTAAAGCTGTTTCTATGAGACTAAAGCTCTGAATCCAGT